GGCGTTATGGCACCTCGTCTTCTAGGGTAATCCATATCAAGGTGTAACAACATGTACACGAGGGGCGTTCAATAAATAATGTCATCGGGGCTCGGAAAGAAATAAAAACGCTTTTCTATGATTTTGTCTTCATGATTTAACTAAAATATTCTCTTTTAATCAAAACACATGTTCGTAACATTTTAATTCCTTTTCTAATTGTTTTTAGAACACAGTTTTGAGTATGACCCATCGTATACTGGAAAATGGCAGATATTATAATTTGCTGTACTTGTTTTTATTCTTTCTGAAAGGTGTTTTACTAAGTTTGGGAAAGGAAATAAGTCAAAGGTTGAAAGATCTAGCGAATATTGTTTATGTGACAAAACATTAACTTTCTGTTTACCCAAAACTCCTTTACGCTTCATGGCCTGTGGGTTTGGACGCTGTCATGCAGAAATTTAATGTAGTGAATTCCTCATTCTGTTTCCTTCCTCTCAGAAACCTTTAATTTTTTTGGCAAATATTTTGCTTACTAGACTCCTCCAGAAATTGAACTACCTCCCTATATATGAGTTTGAACAAAAAGACCGCTAATATTTAAGAAAATTAGCGTATAAAACTGTTTGTGTGTTCTTGCAAATTTTGCTCTTCTTAGGCCTTTGTAGTTTTTTCAAGTACACCTTATTCTAAATTTGTTTTGAGGGGTTAATGCAAATGGATTAAAGTTTCATGATCTTTTTGAATTTCAAAAAAAAAAAAACGTGGATTAGAACAATATTTGATTTTTAAAAAATAATTGTTAAAATTTTCTACACGCTCTCGTTTTCACTTATTTTTAAAAATATAGAGTGACCTTTGAGTATTAAACTTTTTTACAATCAAATGTATCTTTAAAATAGTGTGAACTACCCCCAAAAAGATGTCTATCAAATTTGCTATGTATCTTAAAGTCAATAAAATATAATCAGTGATGATTTGTTGAATTATCGCTAATATATATTGGTTGTTCTATGTCCTTGTTGACAAGAACGGTACCCATTTTTGATGCCCATTATATAATTCTTGTTAATTGAAATCTACCTAGCTGTTCATGTGTGTATGAAACTGACATAAGTTGCTGTAAATTTCACATATTTCAGTTAATATATTTTTGGAAAATTAACAAATTTTACAGCAGCTTTCATGACGTGTTCAAATTTACTCTAGTTTACTGATTCTTGACCATTCATTTTTAATGCAGTGTCTGGAGTAGCCCTTGTTTTCCAGCTTCCCACAATGAAATTGTGCGATGAAAAGTGGTCACATAAACTGTTATCAATTCATTACAGATTCAGTAATTAGAGAAAGTCAAGCTTAATGTCATATGATTTCTGTTTTGTATGTCATCGAGCTGATGACATTATTTATTGAACGCCCCTGCTATATATTCTTACCAAAAATGCATAGGTTTGAGTAGATGTAATTAATTTAAAACACACTTATGAAAAGTTTCCTTATAAGATCTTGTAAAAAAAAATATTTTTTTAGACTTAAGTACCAAAAATACATAACCATCTAGCAAGACACACAGGTTTGATTCGGTCGAAGTCGTGTAGGTGCTTGAAAATCTAGTCTAGGGCCAATCATTCCCCACTCAAGTACAGTACATAAAAAAATCAGCACGCCCTAAATTTTAGCAAATCTGGTCAATACAGGAAGTTTATATGTTGTTTTTCATCTCATTAAAAAAATCAGCTCCAGTCTCGTGTCAAAATACGCGAATCGGTAGGGGAGATTCAGGAATTATTTTGCGTCAGCCATGATTTGACTTGAAATACTGTTACGACACCTTTTGCGGCCGGCCTGCGTGCAGCTCTATTGACTCTTTTTCGCTTCCGTTCAATGGAGCATTTGTCACGACCGGGTTCCCCTATCCACTTTCGACGCAAGAGAATATCAGACCAAATCATTTTGCAACTTGGTAATCTGTTTGTCATTAAACATATGTCGTTCTCTATTCTGGTACACAAAACCTCGCTCTTAATTGATGTGATATCATTCCCCCTATGTGGGTCATTTAATATGCAAAAGAAGGACATTTTGCTAATGTTTGCTCGATACAGTCAATAAGCATTTCTAATCCAAGTTTCCTGTACGCGTAAATTTTCCAAACGTCCAGGCGAGGATCAAGAAATTTTTTCCGGGGGGGGGGGGGGTTCCACCCCTGTCAAAAAAATTCAATCCTTGCTTTTTTCTTGCTTTAGTATATACATTTTGTAGCCTTGGAAAATCCAGGGGGGTCCTCACCCCCCTCTTTGATCCCCCTCTAGATTCGCGCATCAACGTAAAATAGTATATGGTCAGATTTGTAGCTGCCCACCTACATGTCCAGTAAACAATTGAAGACCCCACAATCCATACAAGGCGCTCTAAAGAATCAATAAATAATATAGTAGATAAAACTCATCAACAACGCTCAAATCATATCCATTGTAATATACTTTAGGAATGCGCATGGTTTCCAGCCCCAAAATACAATGTAATTGGATTTTGTCATGCGATACACTTTTTCAACCAAGACACGTTGCACCTCCAATTCTAAAAGAAGCGATTTGTAATCGGAATTTAGGTGATTAATTGTAATACTATGCATGAATTATGAACCCTCAACAAGTGGTCTCACTGCAAGAATTTCTTTCAAATTATAAACTGGGCAAATATGTTTCTTTAATGAATAGATGGCAATAGAATACAGATCCCTTTTTCCTGTTTGATCGGTTTTAGAGAATCTTACAGAGATAGAGACGCAAGAGATGCTTTTTGACGTACAAAATTTTATATCCTTATTAGTTAACGGAACAAGGAGTAATGCTTCGAGGTATGCACTAATTTTCCTACCCTAAATAGACCGTAAAAGGCCAAGGTAAAAACTGATCTAAACAAGAATGTTTCATATTTTGAATTATTCATCATGTTTGTTATTCGGCGAATAACACACCCGATGTAGAGCACCCTACGACTTCTTAACTATGAATATTTACATTTGCAAATGTTTTCCTTTATATAACACTATTGAAAGCAATTTAATTTAGTATTTTAATTTATATCATGAATTTTAGGGAAATGGAGAGGAGGGGAGAATTCTTACAATAAATACCCCTTCTTGGTAAAATTGTTTTCTCGGAAAATTATCACCTTAAATGATCCACGGTTATTGTAAATGTCAATTCATATAAAGAAAAAAAAACTGAAAAGTTTAGAATAATAGATTAAATTAAAGAAAAAGTAACTTAGAGTTAATTAAATATGATTTTTTAAAAGATAATAACAATTTTAAGGTTAAGAAAATGTACAATTCTATATGCTGTATCAAAATTATTACGTTGATATTTGATAACGCCATGTTGACGTCATGACGTCATCAGTGTCATTTTCTTAAGAAAACATGGCATTTTTAGTGAGTTGTATATGGAAAACATATTGAAATATTTAAAAAAAACAATAAACTGATTTAGAACGGGTATCCAAGACTTATATAGATTTTAATACCAGATTTTTGGACTAGGCGGATTTTGGTATATATGTGACGTCAATACTGTAACTAAAGCAGACATCAGCTCAGTTTGGGTTGGTGTGTGCGATGCTGGATTCTGACCTTGGCAGGGGGAGCAATCAAGCCTAGCGATATATAGCAATTCTGATCAATTTCGGTAACAGATTGCTGCACGCACTCTGAACTGCTTGTCGTAATTTCTCCATCCCATGCCCGCAAATTTCCTCGCCGTGCGTCGAGAATGACAATCATATATTTCACCAGTTCGGCTGCTCTCCCTAGATGTCTTTGAATATATATTGCAGAAATTAAAAAAAAAGCATCTGTCCATCTATCGATGGTTATGATAGTTTCATTTAAAATTTTAGACTTAGCCTCAAGCTACCCCACATCGTTTGAAACAAAATAAGGAACATTTCACACTTACTTGGACTTTCAGTAAGGCTTTGCATTCTCGACCTTACATAACTAGCGTCTGAAATTTACACAGCTTTCCTTTACTGTTGAAATATACATGGGATAGAATCTCGGGCAAATGCCAATTAGGGTATCGAAAAACCAATTACATTGTCTCATCCTGCACAGAGGTGGAGCTTAAGTCGTCTCATCATTGTCAACAACAATATAAAGTTCCTGATGCTATTAAATTATTTTTTAATTTCTTAACCAATAAGAATCTATTACCATTTGGAAGGCGGTAAACATGTAGCGCAGATAATGCCACGCCTTACTGAAAGTCCAATTAAGCGTGGAATGGTTCTACTCCCTTCAGCAACTCAAACTGCTGCAGTTCAGCTCTACCCTTTGTCAACAGGCCTAAATTTATATGGTTCTCCTCCCAATTTTTTTGTTTTAAAGAGAGTGATATATAGTCACCTATATCGAACGTCCAAAGTGCAAGCCAAGTTTGGCATCGCCCCGAAATTATCTGCCGATATGGCAGCTTCCTCTGGGACAGGTCACGAACTTAGTCAAATATAATTACCTACCCTTATTGCTAGAAACGAGCAGCTAATGCTTCCTCTGCCCTTCCCGGTGAGGATTGAATAACTTCCTCTCTGGCCTTGATACCAGTAACGAGCAGCTTAGCCTCGGTATCTGCCCTGGTTTCAGCGTGGCAGACAGAGCTAGATGTCTTCTCTCTCTCCCCCTCTCTGCCCTTATGCTGCCTGGCTCCCTTGGCCCGATTGGTTGTCCTGGTAGAATTGGCGGTTGCTTGGGACTTCTTGGCTCTTATGGGTGGCATGATTTTGCTTATTTGATGAACTGTTCTCGGAGGCTTTGCGTACTTCAATAATTATCATAAGTGTCGAGCGCTGGGAAATTAAGCTATCGAGCAAAAGGAGGAAAACACCACGTGCGCCCCTCTTTTATACTCGCGGCAATCGGGGGAAAGTGTCAAAAGACCTACCCTCGGAACTGTTTTTTCGGAAATCAATTAAATTCGTTTTGTTACCGTTCGATTTCAACTACCTTATTTTAAAAAAAAAAGATATTCAACAGGCTTTTGATTTCTTATTACCGATGTATATGAATATATTTTTTGTGTCATTAGCAGATTAGTTAGTATATATTTTGTGTCTTTTGTAGATAATTAATATCAAATTACTAAATTGTAAGTAGTGTTTAATATGTGATGGTTTTTATTTTAACTTCCTTCAACCGAAAGTCCAATTCAACTTCCAATAAAGTGTTTTAAACAATTATCTAAAAATAAACAGAAATGAACAAATGAACTCTGTCTTTTTAAGGAAGACTTTCTGTTACATAATAAATCTTACACATGGTATGAAGACATCCAACATATGGATTACATTCTTCCTCCTCCGTACAGCTACATTCAGAATCACACTTCACACCATAAAAATTTACTGGACACGGGGTTGCGCAGTTTTTTCCAAAAAAACCAACACACTCTGCCAAAAAATATAAAGTACATCTTCCCTTTTTTAACTCATATTAGCACATTTTTATTTCATCTTTGTCCTGAATATCAAAACTGATAACACTGTGTGTTGTTTAGAATAATTATATAGAATTGCATGCTACATAGATAGTGAGTGGGTGCTGTTTAAAATATTATTGCTGCTCGGTGAAGCTGTGGTTTTTTAACAGTATAGAGACTTCTTCAAATGCATTACTCCATCAAGTTCAATCAACTCTCAAAAAAAACCCAAAGTTCCTTACCTGTACAGCTTCCGTTTATCATTCTTTATCCAGAACAACAATTTTCTTGGTTGCTGAATAAAAAATGTCAGGGATCAATTATTAGTTCAAAAATTGTTTCACGTAAGCTAATAATATATGTTCAAATCACTTACACGAAAGTTGGACATAAAGAACTGTCGTTCACTTTTCCATATGAAACTCCGAGAAAAAGAATAAGACAAATAAACTTTGTCTGTTCCATTTATGTTACTTTCTTGGAAAAATTATCAGTTTCCTTGTATGTATCACTTAAATAACTTGTTTTAATAATAAAAATTATGTCCGTTCTCTCTTCCACTTTAGATAGATAACTTAAAGTTTACTTTAAGATTGATGTAGAATATTCCCCCCAACGAGTTCTTTTTTTATTAAAGAAAAAGCGAACATGGGGCCTTTTTCCATATTGAAACATAAATATATAATAAAACAAAGACTTAAAACTTGGTAGTGTTCATTATAGCAGGACGTGACGTGTTCTTTCCCCCATATTATTTTTCCAGAACAATAAGTTTTTTTTACACTTCCCCAATCAAATTACTAGTGCATGTATATGTTGATGGACCTCTTACTGTATACTTGATTATTAAAAGGAAAACACAGCTCAAGCGCATGAAAGCAGTAATAAACAGTTAAACTATATCAATGAGGGAGTAAGCAAGGTTCCAGTCTCCCAAAACCAGGACTATTTCCCGAGGCGCAGCGTTTCAAATTACCAATTATGTTTCCTCGTATATCAGTTTCTAAAACTCACCGTGTATAACCCCACATATGGGAATGTGGAATGGTGACATTAGGGAGTACGGATTTTGAAGCGGAATTTGCAAGATAAGTTGACCTGGTTAGCTTTCCTACAGTGACTGAGATGAAATTGATCCTATTTAACTTACGGCGCAACACAGTCATATCCCAGCTTACTGTAATTCGTATCCCAGATTGGGATTCTTTCTAGGAATGCATGAACACTTCTGCAATATCTAGAAAGAGCATTCGGGGACGCAAATTTGACAGTTTCTTGATTTAAAAAAATGGTGCCTAATATATCATTCTGTTTCATTTGACTTATTTGAGGGACTTCTAGATATAATTCTGCTCCAGACATCCTAATGTTTCCGAGAATTTCACCACAGATAAATCGGACAGTTAGACTTTAATTTCAGTGTGTGGCACTCGGGGCAGGCGCGGATTCAGAATTTTTTTTTCCTGGGGGGGGGGGAGAAAGAAGAAACATAAACTTGCCCATACTTCAAAAACCTATTTCGGGGGGGGGGGATAGTTCATGACTTCTAATGCTTCAAATCTTTGATATTTCATACCAATTTAACACAAATTCGTGTTTACCAGGAGGGGTCTGCTGTTTCCGAAGGGGTCCAAGGTAACTTTTTTCTAGCTTTAGTAAATAAATTTAATAACCTTGCAAGTTTCAGGGGGGTCATGCCCCCCACCCACCCCCTCCCTCCCCCTCTAGATCCGTGCATGCGGGATACAAATTTTAGTGGAGACCGGGGAAAAGAAAGACCTTCAGTCATTGTATTTCAATAGTTATTCTTTCAATCGCAACGTCTCGGGCATTTTCGACTAGCGGAAAAGCGACTTCAGTCGAATGTATTAGGTAGACGCCATTCCAAACCCCGCTTATCACTCTCTTTGAAATAAATACAATGAGACCTTTTTTCTGTAGAATTTAGAGTGCAACTTTATTGAATGTAATGATATTACCTAAAATATACTCCAGAAGGGACTTCTAACTCCATCTATTCTATATTTGAATAAACAGAAAATATATAATTTTATTAACATCCGATCGATGACATTGAGGGGGCTATCTACGACATCTTAACATTGCGTACTTCCGTTGAAACGCCATTGTGGTTCCAAATGATCTATTCAAATTCACTTAACACCGATTAATCACCGAGCATAACACACCATGTGATATTGTGCAAGTGAAGGTGCATTGTATCACTTCGCGGCCTGGGGTGGCCTGTGCGTATCCTTTCTTTAAAAATGAATTTTATCTCAATTTAAAATCAATTTTTACTTACATGTAAATAATTAATAAAAAAAAAGCGTATTTACAAATTTATTGGAATAAAAATGAATTCTTGTAAAGAAAAAATGATATTGAAGAACATGGCTTGTCCATAAGCTTATTCATCATTACGTGTCAAATCGCCAAATAACCTCCAAAATTTCTTTTTTCTTCAAAAATCATATATGCTTTCCAGCAAAATATGTCCCCCAAAATGTAAACTTGATAAGATAAGACATATATACCATCTTCTTATCGACTAGATGATACTCTGTTCCGATATGTATGCACCCGAATGTGTGATTATACCCGGTGAAATTCAAACGCTTCATGAAATCACTAAAATTTTCGGCAGTAAATGGAATTTTGTATGACTCAAACGTTTGATCAACATTGATTATCAGCTGTCTTTATGGAAAAAGTGCACCTGCTGCAGTAAGAAGTGTGGATTAGGTTATAGGAATATCTTCTACTCGCTTTTGGCGATTTACCATGTTTACATGTCATGTTATATCTAGCACTGGACAACACATGCAAGTTGGATAAAAACGGTATACTGTAAATCACTTTTTATTTGCGAGAACTTTATTTTCGCGTAATTACGCGAGACAGTATGCTCGCGAAAATTTAATCCTCGCGTATATTAGTATTCCTTAAAATTATATGGAGCAATTATCACAATTCGTGAAAATTTTGTCTCGCTAAGCGGGAGTCAATGACTATATCGCGAAAATAATGTGTCGCGAAAATTTAGTGATCTACAGTAGTAAATCTACCTTTCGCAATATTATGAATTCACTAAATACATGTCTTTGTCTGGAAACTTGATGGTTTACGATTTAATTCGTTTGAAAAACAATAGTATACGAACTTCTTTCAATGACCTGGCTTTATATCCTTTTTCAATACTTGTGCAAGACTTAAGACTTTATTTGAAGTATAGGGAAAAAATAGTACTAAGATATTTGCATCCACTCTTGAAGCAGATCTTTCACATTTTTGTGATGTTTTGAAGTTGTACAGTTTTTCAATTTTGTTCAATTTCTTTTTTTATTGTTTTAACCCTTTGATATAATATATAATTTCAGATATTGACTTCTAGCCATTCTCAAGAAAGTGAAGTTTAATATTTTTTTTTTGGTCTATTTTTGTAAATTAAAAAAAAAATTATGTATACATTTAATTAATATTTTTGTTGGTTATTATTTCAATTGTTTATAATATTATAAAATTTGAGTGGAAATTCAAACCAATAGACTTTTAAAAATATAGAATGAAGGGGATTCCACAAAATTAATAATATATTATAAGGGCAGATGATACGAACAATAAAAGGATGCCTGATAGGTATAATTTTTGGCTTCATTTCATTGCAAATGATGCAGTTAACAAATCTCTGGAATATAAAGGAATTGTAAACCTTCTGTGATGTTTAAAAGTCTTCCCTTCTGAAACCACCCTTATTAATCTATAAAGATATTTTTCACTTCAATTCCCATTTTTGTGAAATTTTGAATAAAAGATTACAAACTACGCAGTTAAACTTATTCATTTTACTCATTTAAACATGATTAAAAATGTTATTTTCAAATTTTTGACATGTGTGTTTGTATCCAAAAAAAAAAATAAAGGGAAATACTTTGGGTCTATATTTTATCGGATATTGAGCTTATTATTAGAAACAAATGCATGCAACAAAAATCAATTATACTTCATCGCTGTAGAGATCCTCCTTAATACATTCGAGGTTTTTTTTTCCGACATCTGACGGAAAGACCCGTTAGATGATGCAATTGGAATTCTTTTATCTGCTCTGTTTTGATTTTTTAGAACCGGGTGTTGATAAAACGCTGAACGGAAAACGGAATATATTAAATTAGACTGAATATCACTTAAAATACACAAATTGTATCATATATCAAATGTATCTTATACAATATACAATCCCCATTATTAATACAAGTTGATTTAGTCATATTCAGTATCTTATTCTCAAAAATCGTGGACAAAGCAGAAGTGTAGAATCGAATTCGAAAGGGGGAATTAAACTTACCTGAACAGAGTTAGACAAGTGATAAAAACAAAAGATTGTCACAATTGTTTGATTCCGGAGGGGGATAACTTCCAACTCCAACATCTCTCAGTTAGTTTTTTGATATACCGGGTATACATTTTTCTTTGCTACTTTTAGTAAGTGAAGATATTTTTGGTATGATGATTATTTTCAAATTATTGAAGAGAGTTATTGCCCTTAGACCATTGCAAGAAATCTATTTTTTTAACTTTAAATTTGACTAAGTACATGTAGTATGCACATATCTAGTTAATTTATAATGTCTCTTTTTTTAACCTTGTTTGCCATAATCCATAAGCCTATTAGTGCCACGCAATATTTTTTTTTTGAAAGTTGGTAATTCCAACTTTAAAGTTAGAAATTCCAACTTTAAAGTTAGAAATTCCAATTTCAATCTTGGATTTTCCAACTTTAATCTTGGCTTTTCTAACTTTAAAATGGGTAATTCCAACTTTAAAATTTGTAATTCCAACTTTAATCTTGGCTTTTCCAACTTTAAAGTTGGTAATTCCAACTTTAATCTTCGCTTTTACAACTTTGAACGGCTTTATTTATTATACTGTCTGAGATACTTTGTAACTTTTATACATGTAATTAAAATGAAATTATACAATACTGTAAATGTATTAAAATTCAAATATAATCTATTAAATGCATTGTATTTTTAAATTCACATGACTTAAAGAAAATTACATATAAAGCTGACATGTATAAAAAAATGTATGATTAAATCATAAATTTAACAAATATAACTAAAATGATAAATTACTCAGATTTTATTCTATAACCCCAGCAAAAGTATTTGAGTCAATGTGCCTGATATCCCATGTTTCAACAAATTTTTGCCTGTGTAGCACAAACAATTACCCCCCCCCCCTCCTTCCCCTGCATTACATGTAATGTGTTAAGATTTAGAAGTCCATGGAAGAGAAAATAACAATAGGTGTACATAAAGAAAATCTGTTTTATCATCATATTGTTTCTTTTGTTTTCATAAGTTGGTAATTGATTTTACCTCATTTCAAAAAGCACATATAGCACGAGAAAAGGTCTGGAAAACAAAGAATACATGTACAACACAGTGTATTCAGAAATTTTACAGTCAAGGGGCATTTTTAAGTCATTAAAATCAACAGAAAATTGCCAAAATGAGTTTAAAAGTGAATAATTAGAAATTTCCACAGTCTAAGGGCAATACTCTTGAACATTGCTTAATAAAAAAAATAG